CCGTGCTGTTGAGTTAATAGTACATTTAGTATGGCCTGTATTTTATATGAGTTACATATTAGGCGACAAAATTTCTATTAAACATGTATCAGTGTATTGAGATGAAATTTCTAAGGTAATTTGGGAGAAGAATTGTTATTATATCTACTTCATAAGTGGTTAATGTTAACTTCCAGTGGTCTATATTTTCCTCAATTCATTTAATAAGCAATAAATAGTTTAAAATTTGACTAACGTTTCTCAAAACAATGACTGTATGACTTTCCAGTAATCTGATTGTAACCATTCTTATCACGAACTTAATTGTCTCTGAAGAAAATATTCCTAGTCATCGTTTATGACTGTATGACTTACAATAAAATAAGCCTACAAAAACATCAGTCTTTACCTCATAACAGATTTCCTTATTTTACTGGGATGATAAATTAAAATACTTCTGCTAAATTTCATATTAAAAACTAACAAACACATAATAATAACTAAACATTACCTTTTGTTATCATATTTATGATCTAATTTCAAAGGAATTGCATATTAAAATTCCGGTCACGTTTATGCAAACAGGTCTTTTGTATACTCAAATATTTCAATCTCATATTTAGTAGATGACTTTATTAGTGTACTTGGTGTTGTATTGCATAAAGATTTTCACCATTGTTATGTCGATATAAAATCCTTCACTAGTTGTGCGTAAACGCAGTAGTTGGGTCTACTTTCCTAACGGGGTTGTTCCCCTCTCTGTCTAACACATGGCCACCATCAGCTGTCCTTATCACTGACACAACCGGACAAAGATTAGGCCAAAAGGTGGTGAGATAACAACCTTAATTGTATATACCCTGTTGATGGCATTCCAAACTCATCAATATGGTGGACTTGAATGTTTTAATTACGAAGGCATTACGGTCTGTCTGTTGCTGGTTCATATAATAGTTATTGGCTTAATATAAAAGTTATATATTTTATTTAAGAATAGATAATTTAATAATAATGTCAATATTACAAAACAGACCACAGAACAAACAATTAAAAGTAATTATTCCATCAAAGTTTTGTTTACGTCTTACGTCGTGGCACTTAATAACTTTATTCTGATTATATTTTTAAGTTAATACAAAGGAGGTTTGTAAAAAATCACGGCTAGATTAATAATAAACGAATTTCATACATCGACAAGAGTGAAAACTGGTTCTGCTACTTGAGTGTGTCTAATGCAATGGAGTATGAGTCTCTGGTAACAAACACACACACACACACACACACACATACATGCACACCACACACACACACAACCAGGTGTTTCAATGTGTATGTTTCTGTGTCAGTGTGTGTGTGCGTGTTTGCATGTGTGTTTATGTGTGTGTGTGTGTGTGTGTGTCAGGTCAAGTGCCAGGTTTCAGTCGGTCATTGTTATATCATAGAGTGCATTTCAATTCTTAGATCCTTTTGGCTAGTATTATTAATAAATATGTGTAGTATTAACTGTTAAACCTTTAGAAGAAAAAATCCATTATGTTCTTAAAAACACAAGGGTGCTTTTGGTCTTCTTTGTGTTTAATTTAGAATTGAATATGAAATTTACGAAGTTATAAATAAAATTTAATACAGTTTAGAAACTCCTTTAATTTTATAAAATTTCCTAAGCAATATAATTGAATAAATTTTCATGACATTCCTATATTATTAAATCATATAAATAATTTTACAAACATATTTAAAACGTTCTCGTTGTTCTTATAACGATTTTGTTTTTTAAGAATAAAATGCGATTCAAATATTTTTGTGGAATGTATGTAAACATCATAAAATTGTGAGAGTTTCTAACTGAAAATTTTGGTTCCTATCATATCAAAAATACTGATTGTTGGAGTATCTTGTTACAGGGAATGGTATCCTTCCACCACACACACGCAGATCCACAAATATAATACTTCTATATACGATATTGCGATGAACACTTCTTGAAATATTTGTTTCAGTAAAATCTATAAGGAACGCTACTAACTAAAGAAGAAGTAGAAGAAGAAGATAAGTTTGTGTAGAATTGTATCCGGAAGATAGCATAACTTGCAGGAGTGAAAAGGAGCTGAGTAATTAATGACATTTGTAGTATGAATAGCAGTTTCGTAATATTTCAGCAATATAAATACAATATTTTGAGACCATAAAAATTAATATGTAGTTCTATTAACTCAATATATAAAGTATTCATTACTAGGTATTTATAATTCTTATTCCACTTAAAAAGACAACTTCTTTCTTTAACTTAACCTGCTGAATAAATTTATCAGTTAACGTATTATTTTTAGAGTTACAACTTTTAATAAATCTGTACATTATGGAAGATCAGCATAAAAATGTATTTTTCGAAACAGAAGACTGAGGTGATCATCGGTGTACATTTAGCAGGGACAGTGAGTAATAAACCCCAGTTAGCTCTATGGTCAGTTGACCGTGATATGATGACCAGATCTTTATGCTCATATCGCTAAGACAGATGTCTTCAGATATCAGATGATCATCATGCCAGGATTCTTCATACGTCAGTGAAGCCTCTTACTAAGGGCTAATTCAAAACACTTTTTATTTATTTTGAAATATTTTACCAATGAATAAACATTGCTATATTGAACGGTTATCATTATGAAAAACATAACTATTAATAATCTTAAAAAAATATATTTTAAATACAAAATTTAAGTCGAAATAGAATAATTACTGATAGAAAAAATAATAAATAATTACTGATTTGAATCTCGTAGTCAAATCAGTTACCGTACTAATGACACGTGTGAATTAGCAATTCTTATATGTCAAACTAAAAGTAACATATAGTTAGTTGATGAGAAAGTTATCACTATAGCCTTATTTACATCTCTTTCTAAAAGAGATGAGATGAAAGAGAAACGTTGATATTTTAAATAAATTTTATAAAGTAAAACGAGATGTCAGCTGTCACACTTTTATGTCAATCAAATCAGTTCATCAAAAGTAGAATCTAGATAAAAGTTGTCATTTTGATTTCTGTTGCGTCTTACTTCAAGGTTAGTTTTTTAACGTCATTATACATATATCAAGTGCCTCTACAAAAAGTTCTGTTTAATTTGCTTTAATTATTATTTATTATCGTTTTATTTTAGGATCTCTTAATTATAACAAAATTTTCTATTGAATGTACCTATTAAAAGCATTTATTTAATACATTGGCGTAGATGTAAAGACAGGATCGGTTCACATATAATCATACACCGAGTGAAGAACTGTTGCATAATATTTTTTTATAGTCTATTATGAATTATAATTGTTCCGTAAAAACAATTATAGCTCTTGAATAGTTCATATATACGTATCTAAGTGTGTTAGTTATTTTAATCTACAATTATATAAAGGGTTATTAATTTATATATGACGCTGAAAACGTCATCTTCCTCATTACTACAGTATTACAAATGTATGCGTATCATAAGATATTATACGGAGAAAAACTGCAGGACACTGCTAGTTAAGAATAAGAAAAACAAACATGCAATGTGAATTTATTAATACCTATTGCTTCTTTAATCCGTCACTTATAAAGTTTGTTATAAAGGAATTAATAAAATAAATATTTCCTTTCTTAATCTTTTAACTTTTTCGTGTTGACTCACACGTATTCGTGTGTTACACATACACACACACACACACACACACACACATGTAAGTAATGCTGTTATCGCCTTAAGTCGTTTCCCATTAATCAAACCAGCAATCATAAAGATATTGGGTAGACTCAACGGATAAATACGACTTACATGTACCCTGCTTACTCCATTATTGATAATTAATAAGTTTTCATATTAATACACTTAAATAGAGTTATATTTATGACGTTAGAGTAATTAATTAATTTACAATATATGATAGTTGGCATAGTGCGTTTAAAAAAATATATGAATATACTTATCCCTAGTATCAAACGCAATCTGGAATCAAGTACTGTGATATTAGTCTAGCTTATGATAAATCGCTTGATCATCTGAAAAATTACATAATTCATACCTTGGTTCACTTATTTTGAAAGTAACTACTGCTGCAACGTAATATTTTTTTTATTTCGATCAGTGTGTCCTTGAAAAATTTACAGGATTAAGATATTTTAAGCTATCAACGATATTTATACTGAGAAATTTGAGTTTGTAAAGCAAGTTTAAGCAAGCAAGCAAGGTTCTTCGACTATTGATGAGTAATATATTCGTATGACTATTATCTATTTGTACTAGGGATGACAATTATTCTGAATAGTTATTTATAAACGTGATATAAGTACTTGTATTGAGATGTTCGATATCTATGTCGCTTGTAAAGATATTGAGGATTTCTTAAAGAATTGGAGATGATATACAATGCAAAAAAATATTTAAAAAAAAGAGCTTGAAAAATCAGATCGTACATAAAGGTAACGAGAAATAGTAGAAATATTTTACATAATACGAAGTATTTCAAGTTTCAAAGAGTTATGTAGGTAGCTGACGAAAATGTGTCAAATATTTGGGCTTACAATACGTGTTGAAGTAAAAATATAATAAATCCTTATCATTCTATCTAATCATTATCAAGAGATATCAGTGACATATACCTTCTAACTCAAGTGACGAGCGCACGCCACATCGCGGTGCGGTTTTCTCGTATTGTTTTCTCATTTCAGTGATAAATTTTAAATGTCTTTGGTACAGCGGTAAGTTCATACTATCCAATCGTCTTATTCTGATTTCCTTAATAAAAATTCTTTGTTGTCATTAAATTGTATATTATATCTTATTTTACGTCCTACCCTTTTTTCGATTGAACTGTCGAATGTTAATACAAAAACTATATTAAATTTAAACATTTTATCTGACATGTGACTCTAGGCTATGACTTCATTACCCATTGTAGATAGCGCACGAAATGTGCAGTACTGTGATCTCATACGAGAAATATGCTAAAGAAGATTAAATGAAAATTTCAGGAAGTAATCAAACATGTTGGCGGCCTCTCTAAACACGCTCACGCCGCGGCTCAGATTCAACTTTTCGAAGCCGGCGATCGACAATGTAGTGTTTAAGTTTCATTATAAGCTCACCGTCACTATCCTGCTGGCATTCGTGATCCTGGTTTGTTCGAGAGAATATTTCGGAGACCATATTAAGTGTATATCAGATCAGGGAGTGCCAGATCATGTTATACAGACGTATTGTTTCTTCATGGCTACTTTTACTATAGTAAGTATCTTGAACGTACTCTTAAAGATTGCCTTAAATGGTACTGCCCAAACTATGATAGTATTCTATAATCTATAGTATCTTCTTCTACCTGGCAATTTCCCAGCTATAGCCAGGGTCTGCCTTACATGTTTTGAATAGTTTTGGCTATTTGTTTCTACGACCGGCCGCCTGCCTGACATAAATCTTTTGGGAATCAGCATTAATCAGTGATGTCTAAATACTCTTAGAATGTACATATGTATGACTCGGAAAATCACATTGGTACTTGCCCGGGCCAGGATCGAAGCCGCGCCCTCGGCAACGAGAGGCGGGCCCTTTAACCACTAGGCCACCAATGACTTAATCTATAGTATATTTATCATTAAATGAGTGTTCTTGAATTTTAGGTTCGTCACTATAACGAGAGCCTGCTTGAAGGTGGCTTTCTGCCACATCCAGGTGTTGGACCTGTCTCGTCTTCAGATGAAACATTACACCACACCTACTACCAGTGGGTGCCATTCGTGCTCTTCATACAATCAGTATGCTTCTACATGCCTCATTACGTGTGGAAGAAGAAAGAAGGTTTGTTTATATTCTAATATACTATGTATATACACTAGTACGACAATAGTTTGCAACCAATAACAGACGGTGAAGGAAAAACATCGTGAGGAAATCTGGACTTATAATTTCATAATTATAAGTTTGAAATCACCAATACGTCTTGAGCAAGAATGGTAATTAATGCTCAAACCTTTTCCATGTGAGAAGAGACCTTTGCTTACCAGTGGGCTCTGATAGGCTGATAACTACATATGTTTATCTTCTTCTAGTTTTTCTTGTTGAGTGGATGTCATACGACAAATTTTACTTTCAAAATGCGTTATACAGATAGGAGCCGAGAATCTTATTGATCAAAGTTATTTTACTTGTAATCTCTCGCCGTACATGCCTCTATATCTTATCACTATTATTCAGGTTAACGTGACGAATATCACGGAGACACGCGTTCATATTGTTAGATATTCAAACCACCATCCTCATATAACGTTTGGTATTTAGGTCTGTGATGTATTCATGTAGGCGAATGTCATCACGACAATTACGAGGCTCTTGTTACGTTTGTGTAAATAATAATCCAGTACTATCTTTTGAAGTACGACCGAGTTCTTTGTTGCAATTATTGTATCAGTAATAACATATGATCGTTTTGTAAATGATGCTTTTATATATATGTACTGACCATTCTTGATAACCACAAGGAGTTATACTGCTTCATCATTGTACTCTTAACAATGTATATTTCGTTTTATATACATGAGTACTATCTATTTGATGAGCTGTAGTCACCGCATTATTCAGACATTGTTATGACTTGAAATTTAGTCATCCTTAAATATATTTTCATTTAGGAAGAAAACAACAAACATTTTGTTATAGATAGAACGGTAAGGGAAGATGCATTTGGTACTTTTATTATCCAAAATAGAAAGTAACTTGTCTATCATACATAACCATTATTGTTCTTTCTTTTTTAAAGGATGTCTGATAATTGTGAATTTTAATTCGTTTAATGTATTTTTTGTAAAGGTGGAAGAATAAAAGCGTTGGTAGATGGTTTACAATATGCTGGACTTGCTCTGGCTAGTGATGATATGAAGGTTGGAGCGATGACGGTCCCATCCAAACAGACTTTGGAGAGTCAAGTTGAAAATATCAAGAAAGATATTGTTATGAGGTAAACATGACTTGTGTAAAATAAAGTTTCGTTTAGTTAGATTTTTCATATGTAATTACCCAAAATATGATCTGCTATTGAACTGTGGAATATTTTATGAGGTCACTATTAGGAGGAAAGAAAAACAAAATAAATGTCTTTACCACAAAATTTTTGAACTAAATATAGTTTTTATACCAAATATTTACGTTTATTTTTGGTTTTAGATTACGAGTAACCAGGACTTGGTCGACGTGGCTCGTTGCCATGGAGATTACAAACCTGGTCCACCTGATGTTCCAGATTTGGATGATTAATATCTTTCTAAACGGACAATTCATAAACTTAGGTTCCAGTGTTCTCAACTACAATAACTGGCAGGATATATTGGATCCATTAGAAACGATATTTCCTAAGGTTAATGAAGACTTTCTTTCTTTAAAACTCAGAGCGTGGTACTATAGATTAGTTTTTGTGAAATTTATGTAGTATATATTCAGGTAACCAAATGCACCTTCCACAAGTACGGTCCAAGCGGTTCCATTCAGCAGCACGATGCACTCTGCGTCATGGCTCTCAACGTTATCAACGAGAAGATCTACGTCATCCTCTGGTTCTGGTTCCTATTCCTCTTCATTGTTTCTGCTCTCGGTAATATAAGCTTAATATATGAAAAGTAGTTTAGGAACCTTTGAACATAATATCTTCAAAACTCACAAGAGCAATGTGTAATATTTGAATATCGTTTTAGCTGTAATCTGGCGCTTCTGTTCCTTCTTCTTGTACCGACGCTCCCTCAAGTTCAACGAGATGATCTTCCGTCATGCCTCCCACAAGACCTTCAATCCATACAACGTGATCCAAGTAGTGAACGGCTGTAACTATGGTGATTGGCTATTCTTATACTACCTGGCCAAGAACATGAAAGGAATTGTTTTCCAGTAAGTTATAAGAAGAATTATGATCTTAGATAAAGTGTAAGATGTATAATGTATACAAAACATTACAGGCAACTATTTGAGAGGTTAGCTGAGGAACTTCAGAAGCGAGATATGCCGTTCGATCAAGACGGACATGAAGAAAAGGGAGCCGAGCCAGTGTTACTAGGAAAAGTTGATTATACTGACGAAACTCTGCCTTTTAAAGATGATATTAAGAAGTTTTCGTAAGAGAGTTAGAGTTACGTTAAGAGGCAGTTGTGAAGGTTCTAAACTGTGATAGCAATACGCTAACAAATATTTGAATTGTTTTCTATATACGATGTAAATGCTCAAATTATACTCTTATAAGTAATTGTTTTAGCACGTGCTCAGTTGAGTGGACGGCTCAAATTTATAAGCAATATTTTCAGTCACTAAGTCAGTATTTCACATTAATAAAATTACTTTTAATTTATATCCTTTTTGTATTTTAAGATATTTTTTGTTAAATAATTTAATATAGAAAACGTGTACCGAATTCGCACTATACGAAGAATTATTTTTATTGAATAAATGCTCGCGTTTAAGACATAAATGTCTGGACTCTCGAGATATGGTCGTATAGTCGATTGAGGAATATATCGATTTATTCCGTGACATTCATGAAACACCATTTGCGGTAATTGCGGTCGAAGTGAATCAAACAATTAACTATTTAAGATTTTGCCTGTTTCTGAATGACGGGGAATAATATTGCGTCAATGCCAAAACACATATGATTATTTTCGACTAAGTCATAACCAATTACTTAAATATAATAAATTTATATGTTATGTAGGATATTATTAATTATGTTGTAATAAATATTTTAATGTTTTATAATGATAGTGTCTTTTTTCCTAAAATGTGTATAATCTGAGATTATTGAAAAATAATATTAAGTAAATCAAAGGTGTTATTTGTTTGAAGCAACAGAAGGGAGAAAATCAAATTTGGAATTTTCCTTAATGTCTTTATTTATATAGAAAACAGATGAATCGTTTTCAAAATGCCGTAATAATTATAATAATATAATATTTATATTTACTAAATGAACCTTTACAAAAAAATATACACAAGAAACAATAGTGATAATGTTTGATTTAAGGATTGCGGTAATAAAAGGTAAACTAAGCTTTGCAGTTGCCCACACATATATAAATAATAAAACAAAAAACTGTATATTTAACGAACATTAATTTACAGTAGTTCACTTCAAAATTACTTTAGACAAATAGGTAGTTTATATAAGTCATTGACCTTACAAAATACTTGTACATTAATATTATGAGTATATACAAGTATTTTCTTCCTCGTATAAGATTAAATCTGTAAAACACCATAGGATGATAAGCAACGTCAAGTTATTTAAGAGAATTCATTACTAAATGCACTTGTTATGATTCAAGAGCATGATTTTTATAGTCGTTAATAAATCCTCATTATGGCAAGCTCAATAAATAAACTATTAGTATCTAAAAATAGCTCAAACACTTTAGAACAGTGACAATCCTAATACTCAGAAGATGATATGTTAATGGGAGACGAGGGTAAGAACAAAGATTTATTTAATCTTACACTAACACTTTTAACAGACACTCACTGAAGGAAAACATCGTGAGTAAACCTGGACTTATAATTTCAAAATAAGTTTTAAAATTAACAACCCGTCTTGAGCGTGGTGATTAATGCTCAAACCTTCTCCATGTGAGACGAGGCTATGCTCGGCAGTGGGCTCTGATAGACTGATGATGATGGACACTGCAAATACATAAACAAAGTATCCTAATGTTTATTGACGTTAGAATTACAAGGTCTACTTTCATTTTAATATATCCTCTATCGTAATACATACATTTATTTGATTACCGATAAGTCTCAAGTATTGTAACTCGATCGAGTATCGTGTACATGTCTAAGACGTGCAGTGGTCGCTCAGTGAAGGGACCACGTGTAATGATATCTCATCTAGTACGCGGGTTCAATCGCGACTATTGACCCTGAACTCTTCGGGACGTACGATTATATTTATTAAATTAATCTAATAATATCCTTTTTCCAATTAGAATGTTTATTGGTAATGTAATGAGTAATAATTTGATGCGAGTACAAATTATTAAAAACAGATGCAACTTTAATTCTTTGTTTTATGTTAATTTATATATGATTCTAAAAAAAATGTCACATAATTGGGATTTTACTTTATAAATTTAAATTATAAACGATATAAGACTTTCGCGAGTATTTACTGAAATAAAACTAGTATTTTTGGATGTACTTCGAGTTTTTTTATTATTTTTAAACTACATACTTACTCCCAATGTTGTTTTGCAGCAAAAATGATCACAGGCAGACGAAATGCATTTTCTTTTATTTAAAGTTATAAATGAATGCAACAGCTCATTAAAATATCATGATTAATTATTATCAGTGACCTCGACAAGAAACTCCAAGAACATTATTGTGTGCAATATGTTATATTATTATTTAACTCACTCTCCCGTTGCTAGTTGGACGTTATATAAAAGTATTAAAATTAATATTTTCCTAGATAACAATGGAAAATACACGAATGTTTGAAATTCATTTGCATTTAAGGTCTCGTGACGTCATTGTATTAATGTTCAAGACTTCCTTTAGACATCTTCCTTCTTCCTTAATGAATTATTAACATAATTGGCCTTAATTACTTCAATTTTTATGAACATTCAAGGTGATATAATAGGATAAACAATAATTTTCATAATGGAAATCTTTTTATTTAGATAAGAATTTGCCTTTTGTTAGTTTATGAAAAACTTATTCCTTCTATGGTGAACAGCGCCATCTCTTGTTGACAGATAGATACGTTAGGTCCGCTTCGTTTTGTAAAGTGGGGCGTCGCGTCCCGAAGCATGCGTTCTGTACCTGGAATTTCGGCCTCACAAGTAGCGCGACTGGTTCTTTACAATTTTAATGTACAGATCCCCTTCAATTGGTCGTCTATGTATTGGTGGATGAAACGTAAGAGATTTAATTCTCTTCATAATTACTTTTGTGATTGATCGGAGATTAAATGCAGCACTTTGGTTGCTCTTATTATATATGTGTGTGTTTATCCTTGAACTTCATGAAAAATACTAGTTTTGTTTGAAATATTCATTTTTGATATGTGAAATGAATAAATACTTATTTCTCAATAGATAAAGCAATTAATAAGCAATTATTTTCCATTAAGTATAACTACTTGTTACGTATAAGTACGTTTAATGTTACATGTATATATAATATTGGATATCAATCAAAGTAAGAGAATGGGTATCATGTTTGACTAAATTAATGTTGTTCCTAAACAATATCGAACTTGTAACTTTTATTAAAGTTTTGGTATTATTACATGCAATTATGAAATGTTACTAAATAAGATTATTACATCCGGTTCTGTGTGACAAAGGAAATCAACGTCAATCTATTTAAATGTGCTTTCTATTTTCTAGGACACAAAAAGAATGTAATGAGTTAGAAATAATTATATGAGTTATAAAGTCGTTTTGTTGAGGCTTTTGTTCATTGTCCGTATAAAAATATCTGTATATTAATAATTTACCAATATATCAATATAATTTATAAATATTTCATATCAATTTTGTGTAAATGTAAATAAATATTTATTTTTTAAGCTTTTAGAAGATACTTATTAATACAAAAGAAGATATATTTTACTATTTGGTTAGTTACTAAGTTAGAATATGAACAAGAAATCTAACTTAACCGTTTTGTATCCGAGAAGTAGGCGTTGGTGTTTAAAATAATATTTCTTATATTTTAAACTTTATTTTAGAATCCATTTTTTTAAACAAACATATATTTTTAATAACTAGAGACGTACACAATATTATAATTCAATAAATTAGCTCCATAGTTAACAACATATAATATAATATTAAAATGTTAAATCTTACATTGAAGTCTGTACAGAGGAACGTAATTTATAATACTGGCAACACCGAAGACAATGTCATAACGAGGAGAGCATATGACAGTAAGCCGGCCGTAGTAGCGGCAATATAGTGCGTCTCGTTTTTTTATATCAATACACATATATCTATCCTTTTCACTCTTAAATATCACTGCACCGTCTATAGCTATGTTGTAATCTGTGGAAAAACAAAATAAATTGCTCAGTGTAGGAATTAGTCGTGTGTTGTAGCGATTCATTTTCGTCATTTTACTTTTTAAGTGAAAATTATGATAATATGTGGCAAAGTTATTACGTTTATTGACTATACAGTCTTAACTTTATGAGACAGGATAAATTAACAAGTTGTACTTCGAAATTCGAATAATTTATTTGGAAGAGTGAGAACTAAACATTGGAAAAATTATAAAAAAAATCCAGGCTAAGTGGAAACAAGTTAATTGGTAAGTTATATTAAATATATTTATTCTATTATTTTTAAATTAAATTTTCAAGGTCCCACATTATTTATTTTCATAACAAAAAATATATAATTGCAGTTTTAAATTTTAAGAAAATATTATGCTTTTTTGTGCCTATAAAAATGTTACTGTTTTAATTTGAGCATAGAACTATTTCATATTTATGGGAGTAACAGCAGTTTTATTGAAGTAAATAGTAAGTAATGATGAGTTAAAATATTAAGAGTAATTTAGAAAAATATAATATTTTAGTTCTAATTCACTGTATATAAAATTCCTTCAAACTAAGTACAGTAAGTCATCCCGTTAAAATTTATTTTCTACTGATACATTTTGTAGGAGTTGATTTTTAAAGTTCGGCTATTGACTGATTTTTTAGATACTTTATTTATTCTTCGCTCCGGACGCTCCGCATAATAATATTTGGTTACTATGGTAAAGTATATCTAACTATCTTATTCCTGAATTTAAATTATACTACGGTCAGACTGACCTGCAATTCTGTTTATTACTAGTATGGAGTGTTCGATTAAGAAAAAATCTTATTTGTTATTACCAAAAATTTATTATTATTACTTATTTTATTCTTAAATATATTTTTCTATTAAAAGACTGTTTTATTAAGATAGAAAAGTAATACTATGTTTGTTAAAGAAATATCTGACTTGTATGATTCTCATGTGCGGTTCAAGATTAGGTAATAAGTAAAATATTGTCAAATAAATCTATGTTAAACACTTTCATTTTTTTGAAAGGAACCACTCTCTAAGATATAAAGTTTAAGAAATCTT